CTGAATTAATAGCTTTTCTGTCATTATTAGCTAGGCGGTGCATTTTGTTGCAGTGGAAGTCTCCTCAACCCCCATCCCATACTCAGTGGATTAAAGATGCCTTATTTTTTGTTAAATTAGAAAAAATTAAACATAGTCTTGGAGGTTCAGTGGTCAAATTTTCTAATATTTGGTTGCCTTTTTTGGAACATGTCAAATCTCTGAGACTTGAGGCAATTACTGTAGAGTGAATGGTTGTCATTCTTGCATTTTTGTTTTGATCTGTGCTTCCAGTTGAGTATTAGTGCTGCTGATATACCACAAACATACAACTTTTTCTTGACATAAAACCATAAGTTAAGAATGTGCCACCCCCCAGCCTATTTAGTTTAATACATTTTCCCTTTTCTCTCACTTTTTAAAAAATTTCTTTTCTATTTTTTTCTATTTGTTTATTTTATTTTATTTTATTATTACTGTTTATTTTAGTTAATACACCATGCTGTCAACCTCAACGTCTCGTACAGACCTGTTTATATGCTCAATTTGAAAATTGATTTATGCACATCATATAGTGTTTATGCATGTCATATACTGTGTGTCGCACAATATGAGGGTTATAGTGTGGTTTATTTTATTTTTTTTTTTTTATTCAGTAATGTTGTACTGTTATATATATATATATATATATATATATATATATATATATATATATATATATATATATATATATATATTCTGTTTGTACTGTTATTGTCTCTTTTTACTTTGTTTGTTAACTGTCAAAAAAATCTAATAAATAAATCTTTAAAAAAAAAAAAAGAAATTGGGGGAATAAATAAACAGGGGAGGCTAAAAATTCTGACTTCAACTCTATACTGTATATAGACCATATTGAGTGATGAAAACAAAAACAATGGTCCCGACGTATTTCCTGTTTTACATGTTTAATTTCTATATCTTCTGAGAATCCAAAAAGCAGCACATATTGATAAATATGGTTGTGATAGAATTGACTCTTGTTACAGTTATGAAATAGTTTGATAACACGCAGGAAATGTTCATGGGCCAATGACATGACCGCACTGAAATGGTTTATATAAATATGTGTGTTATGTGTGAGTTGTATGCAATTTTAATGTTAGAATGTATTTTTAAAAATCTAAATATCCTTAAAATAGTGGTTAGAAATCAGTAGTCAGTTTAGCATTTTTGCTCTATTTTAAAGTATTTTAATTTGATTTAATCAAAAAACACTAAAAAATATATTATTGTGTAATATTTAAAATGATTTAAGTATATATATATATATAATAAAATCTTTTCATTCCCGTGATGATAAATATTATTTTTAAGCATATATCTATCAAACATTAGTGATCCATGAAAGAATCTTTAATGGGTTACATGATTAGGGCATGAACTGTATTAAATAAGCATTCTCGTATGAAAAAAAACATTCAAGAGGTACACTTTTGTACCTTTAAGGTAGTAATATGTACCATTAAGGTATTAATAAGGACTCTTTAGTTACAAATGTGTAACTGAGAGTGAGGAAAACACACTTTACAAAGAACTGAGAGTCACTGGATTAGGAAAGTCAGATCTGCTTACATGTTTATAAAATTGTGCTTAGGCAATTATAAAATAAAAAATATAAAAAACATGTTTAAGTTATTTTATAGAACATTTTGAGGGATGTAAACAAAATGGTCCCAACGTATTTCCTGTTCATTTTTTTCTATAGCTCACAAGAATCCAAAAAGTACCACATATTGATAAAAAATGTCATGGCAGCTGCATGTTTTAACATTAAGTTATGATTGAATTGCCTCTTATTACAGTATGAAATAGTTTGATAACTATTTCAGTGATATGAATAGTTTCATATCACTGGTCCATGAAGGAAATGTTCATGGACCAGTGATATGACCACACTAAAATGTATTTGAGTTAAATGTAAGTTGTTTGCATTGTAATGTTAAAATGTATTTTTAAAATCTAAACAAACAAAATCTGTTTTCTTCCAAATCCAAACTACAATGCTGATTAAGAAAATAATTTTAGCTTGATGTCAAAAATGATATGTCCACTATAACTAATTACAAGTCACAATTTATGCAAATGACAAAACCATCCAAAAGACCACAAACTTCACAGCCAACATGAACTGTATTTCTCATTCACTACTAGGAGAGTTTCCTTCATTTCTATGGACTTTACAACCACTTTAGTGACATTCCCAGTCTCTTCCAGAGAAAAACACACCAAAAATCCCCTAAATTGTCACCATTATCATCTCATCATCTGTAAGCCATTGCGCAAAACAGCCTTTAAGAAAAGGAAAATTGTTCCAAACACTGTTCCCTGCGTCTGCCTTCATTTGACGTGCGCAGAAATGAGAGCGATCATTCAAACGACACACACACACACCAAACTGTGCTGCTAAACTGAGCGTTTAGCCTCTAACTGAGCTAAACGCTGTTCTGCTGGAAGGCCAGTCGCTGAGATTAGCGCTGTTTCCCTGCAGGAGTGCTGTCTCATACAGGTAATTACTCAATTATCAGCAAACACACACAGCTCTGACAATACAGGCTGCAGGAAGAGAATGAAGACTGGTGAAAAAAACATACACCTTGGAGACACACATGAATATAGCAGCACTTCATGAAGAGCAACTGAGAGATGAGCCTTCTGTTAGTATAAATAAACTTCTTTAATAACACAGGAGTGTTCAAAAATGTGTCAAGGAACTTTCTGATCACATTAGAAAAGTGAAACATATCAATTATTAGAATTATTTGTCTGAGATTGACTTAAATCTAGATGTAGAAGCAGGTTTATGGTGCTACTGGAGCTCAGTTTGAACTCTCCTAGGGTGTTTTTCTGTTTATCTCCACTGGTTGGCGCTGAAGAGAGCAGAACTGATTGCTGATTTATTTTTTTTTTCACTTGCAGACTCACTAAAAAGACTCAAAGACAAAAAAAAAAAAAAGCTATACATATAATGTTAACCATTTGCATGGGAAAATTAGTTAGGGGCTCTTTAATCGGTGTCCTAATGATGTTCCAGTGAAATCTGAGAATTATTATTTGACTCTAAACTCAAACAAAATGTATTTAAAAAAAATTAAACACACAACCAAAACTAAACCCTAGCGAAGTAAATTAATGTCAGTAATATTATTGACCAATATGAAAATTATTTATTTACAATATAGTTTGTAAAGTAATATTTTCTGTCTTTTAGTAGATATTTTATATGTGAGACTTGCTTTGTTTACCAAATAAGTAATCTAATTAGACTTGCATAGTAAACATGAAATAAAAGTTTAAAAGGCATTATTTTTTATTTCATATATGATTTTTTTTCTTTAAATGATATTCCCAAAATCATTCTGCATAAATATACAGCTTTTCTTTTTTTTTTCTTTTTTTTTACAAAATTCTGCGCAGAAATAGCAAAAAATGTCTGCAGATTCTGTCTGGCCCCATTTATTGCTCTCTAAACATGATTTACATAAATATACTTTGTTATAGCATTTTACAATAAGGCTTCATTTTAAAATGATATTACTACATAAGTTAACATGAACTAACAAAAAATATTGATCATGAATAAAGTTATGTTACTAATATGCACACAACATATTTGTTTGAAATCTGGAGATAGACAAATACATTTTATTGAAACACATACCTACTAAATCCAGAGTAAATCCCAAAAAGGTGTTTTTTCTACTTTTTCCACTTTAAAAATCATATGTAATTTCATATTTTTATTTGTCACTTCATTTGTAATTAATTCTGAAATTTGTTATTCATTTCTGAGTAATATTTAAAGCAATATTTAATGTAACATTAACTAATATTGTGAAGTGGTAAAAGTGTTTTTAAAAAGTGTTAAGTGTGTACCTGATGTATAAACATCATGAAAACAAATAATAAATTACTTCTAAATAAGTATTATTTTAGAATAGATTATTTTTACTAGATATTTTTCAAGACACTTCTATACCGCTTAAAGTGACATTTAAAGGCTTAACTAGGTTAACTAGGCATGTTAGGGTAATAAGGCAAGTTATTGTATAATTATGGTTTGTAGACTATCGAAAAGAAATATAGCTTGAAGGGGCTAATAATTTTGACCTTAAAATGGTGTTTTAAAAAAATAAATACTGAATTTATTCTAGCCGAAATAAAACTAAAATGAGACTTTCTCCAGAAGAAAAAATATTATCAGACATACTGTGAAAATGTCCTTGCTCTGTTAAACATCATTTTGGAAATATTTTTAAAAGAAAAAAATTTCAAAGGGGGGCTAATAATTCTGACTTCAACTGTGTGTATATATATATATATATACAGAACAGAAGATGCTTTTTTCTAAAGGGTAATGTCTAGACGAGTAGTTTCATGTTCAGAAACATCATTTAGGTACATGTTAGATTTGAATAGATCTCTTTGAGGAAAATAAAACTTACATTATTGGTTAAAGATTTAAAATAATTGAAAGAAATCTCTCAAACTCTTTAACAAATGCATTTATAATGTCACAACACATTTTGTTTCAAATAAATCTGTTTCATTAAAATTAGTTTTAGTCATTTGTTTTTTAAGAGTAATATTATCTGTCATAGTCCAGTTTTAAAAAATTCAATGTAAAAAATCTATAAGCATATTATTATAGGCCAGGCTTACAATTAAGTATCCAATTTCTGAAATTAATATATTATTGTATATAAATTATTTTGATTTGATTCAATCAAAAGACAGTAAAAGAATATATTAATGTGTAATATTTAAAAGGTGTACTAATTGTGTACATTTTTAAATGTTTTTATTTGTGTGATATAAGTATTATTATTTTTTAAGCATATATCTATGAAACATTAGTAAGGTATATGCAATAAAAAAACCTAAACCTAAAATATATGTGAGAGGGTTCTCTGTAGTCTAAAAGATTTCTTGGTCGAAGTCTACAAGTGTCATTTCCAGTAGAAAAACAAGCATTTCTGTACCTGTTTAGAGAGTGTGTGAGTGTGAGCTGGTTTGCTGGGCAGGACGCAGCTCGTCCTGCAGACAGACTGATGATCCCCCTGTCTAAAGCAAACAGAAACACAAACCCTTTACACACTACACAAACACAATAACATCAAACCATCAGTGAACGTACAAATACAGCTTCTCTCACCATGTTTTGATGATCTTAATGGATTTAAAGGAGAGATGCAGCACAGAAGAGAAGTGGCATCGCCAACACCTGTTCAAATCACTGCAGGTCACACATTTCTCTGGCTGAACATTAAAACAACATTTTAGAAAAGATCTTAATAATATAACTGTCATCACAAGAATGTTTGCAGAAGAAAATAATAGGATTTAATAAAGAGTTATTTTAAAAGAATTATTCATCATTGAAAACCAAATGAGCATATTACAATGATGCAAATTATATTTGCATACTATATACAGTGTTAGTAACTAGTTACTGTAATTTAATTACTTTTTCCACATGAAAAAAAAAGAAATGTAAGGGATTACTCTTCCTTTTTAGGTAGTTTACTCACAGTTATTCATAATTTAATTGCTGTAGACACTGTATATGAATTCAACAGTTCTATATAAATCAATTCAAAGATGATTGTAATTTGTTATAAAAATATACTTTGCAGAATGATTTCATTTTTCAGCTAAAGAAAGTTACATTCATCAAGACAATTTAAGAAATACGAAATTTAGTTGAGTTAATGAAAATATAAGGTATAAATACATAGAAGCAAATCTGAATCTAAAAATTATTATATGTGTGTCTGTATTACATGTTATTCAGATATTTTGCATTTTAACCCAATTTTTCAACTAGGTTACATTTTTCCAAAAATTGCTAATTCTTACGAGACAATGACTTTGTTTACAAGAACACTAGTAATCTAGTTATTTGCCTTAATCTGAATAAAACAATAATTTGATTAAGGTGTTTACATGTGCTGCTTTTTGAATGTTACTTTCATGATCCCGTTTTACATGTTATAGCACATAGATCAACTTTAGATTAAGTTAATTAAAAATCGCTGTTTACATGGTTGACTCTTAAACAAAGTTTTGTCTTAGATTAAAATTGGTGTATTGGCGTCCATGTAAACATACTCAATTAGATTACTGATGTCCATGTAAATGTAGGCAATGAAACGAAAAGGAAAATTTGTCAATATGTCTTTTTATGCAATGTAAAATGTACAAAATAAAATGAAAAGGTCCTGATTTGACTCATTAAAATGATTAAAATGAAAATTACAATATTGGAGTTTCATATTTATGAAGTCAATTTTTTTTTTCATATTTAGTAGACTAGAGTTAAGTAATTAAATTACTTATGGAGTAAATAATTGTCTTTTAATACTAATTAGAAAGGAAATTTGAATACAATTATAATGATGCAATTGGAGGATGGTGCGGTGGTGCAGTGGGTAGCTTCGTCACCCCACAGCAAGAAAGTTGCTGGTTCGAGCCTTGAAGTTTGCATGTTTTGCTCTTGTTGCCATGGGTTTCCTCTGGGTGCTCCTGTTTTTCCCACAAGCCTAAAGACATGCGCTATAGGTCAATTGGGTAGGCTAAATTGTCCTTAGCGTTTGTGTGTGATTCAGAGTGCATGGATGCTTCCCAGTCATGGGTTGCAGCTGGAAAGGCATGCACTGTGTAAAGCATATGCTGGATAAGTTGGTGGTTCATTTCTCTGTGGTGACTGCTGATGAATAAAGTGACTAAGCTGAAAAGAAAATGAATGAATTATTTTTTTTATTTCACAAATAGCCACTGACTGTGACTGAGGAAAGTTAGATGTGCTGGCCAGTTTATTATTTGCCTAATAAATCCCAATGGGCTCCCGTTTTTAGTTTAATAAATTAACAGATTCCTATTTTTTTTTCTAATGATATATTATGCAATACATTTGTATATTAAAAATAAGTATGTATTCATATGTCTTTATTCTGAATCTAGAGGAATCTTTTTGGTACTTTAAAAAGTGTGGTTATAAAGACCATCCGACAAGCTAATCCAGCTAAAAATAGTGCTTAATATTTTACAAAAATGCAGCTTTAAAATCTCATAATTAAAAAGGAAATGAGACAAATAACTGCAAAAAGGTCCACATTTTGAGAAAAAGAACCACCCCTTACACCAAGCTGTCTGCGGGTCTGTATAGGGTATAAACTCACAGAACCAAAGAAAGTAACTTAATTTTTCAACTACACTCGATTTTTTTGATGCGTAAAAGACAAAAAAACAAAAAAGTAAGAAATGTGTCAATATGTTATGTATGCAATATGAAATTTACAAAATAAAACTAAAAGGTCCTGGTTTGACTCAAATATAAAAATTAAAATGATACATTAAGAGTTGCGTCCCTATTAAATGTATTTTTATTTTGATTAAATAAAGTTAAGTAATTAAATTACTTATTGAATAATTAAGTTACTTTGAAGACTAATTAGAAAAGTAATTTAAATACAATTTTAATGATAAATAATGTTAACCTTTTGATGTAACTTACCCAACATTGATTTAATAGATAGTTTTTAGCCCTTTTTCTGTACAAATATCCTCAAATAACATCCTCAAATAAAGATACATTTCTTTAAAAAGCTAGGTGATTTAAGATCAAATTGTTGTATTATGAGAATTATCCTGCATTATATCTTCATGCTGAAAATTGTTCATACATAATTTGCCTGATTAACATAAATTATTCAACAAAAAAGTGGTGAGAATTACATTCTGTTCCCAATGTTTTCTGACTGATATAAAAAAGACACTCAAAATCTCCTAAAAAAATAAAACTGTAATCTGTTTTTAATCAGATTTTTGTTCAAATCACGGCATATTTAATAAAAACGCCTTATTTGTATACTTACAAATAAAAAAGTTTTCAATTATGAATAAAATTAATCAACTGGTAAACTATAATCAAAACTATTAGTCTAAATTTTTAGCCAAATCCCCTGCAGATTCTCACCTTAACGACCCACCAGCAGCTCAGAGCAGTTTAAACAGCCACAACACAATACAGATGGAGCAGAACATCCCAAACTCTGATCTAGTTAATGCACTGCTGTGTCGACCCACCCAAAAGGCCTCGTTTAAGCCCGTCTCCCCCATCACACGAGCACCTGCCGGCGGACACACACCTGGCCCACAGCGGCATCCCACCGAGAGGCCCTGTGCTGCTCCACAAACCAGCCCAAATCCCCCTGAGAGAACCTGCCGAGAGCTAATGAGGAATTACAGAGGACTAGAACAGCTTTACTGGGGTTTACCTCATGCCAGTGACTCACAGGAAGACCCAGAGGCCACTAAATACACACACACACAAACTGATGCATGCTCAGGCAAAAATACTGATCCACACATACACACGCACACTAATGCAGGCTCAGGCAAAAATACTGATAGACGCGCACACGCTTTTACCCACCCATGGAATCAAATGTTATTGCTTATAGACATGACTTTGTTGGTACCGCAGCTGCGCACACCAAAACAAACACACACAACTGCAGGCTGGTACGTGCTGCTGTTTTATCCAGAAATTAGTTTTAAGGCAAACGCAAACAAATTTAAAACTGACTCAGGTTGGGTGTACAGTATAAAACACAGATGTTCATGAATCACCATATCTTCTGTCGAAAATATTTACTTTCTGAATATAGAAATAGGGATGTGTGTGTGTGTGTGTGTGTGTGTGTGTGTGTGTGTGTGTGTGTGTGTGTGTGTGTGTGTGTGTGTGTGTGTGTGTGTTTATGAAATTAGAGCACAGGTATCAATATGTGTGGGGACATTTGTTAGTATTGTTGTTTTCACTGTTGTTCTGTGACAAATGTTATTATTTTTAATGCTCATGAAATCTATTTTATTGTAAAGTATTATATTAATTGTTTTGTTTTAGTATTTCTACACTGTAAAACCCAACAGTCAACTTTATCAAATAAAATGAGTGTAGTTAACTCAAAATTGACTGAAAGTTAATTCTACTCATTTGAAAAGAGTTTTGAACTCAGTGCTGAAGGTAATAATTTAATTAAATACTTTATTACTTTAACTTTAATGGAGTAAGTTCACAGTACTCACATAGATTAGTTTTTTAACTCAAATGGTTTGTTGCAATCGGTTTGCCAAATGATTTGAGTTGCCTTAACTTATTGGGTTTTACAATTGATTTGAGTTCTCTTCATTTATCGGGTTTTACTGTGCTCAAATTGCTTCGTTTACTCAAATGGATCAAGTTCACAGTACTCATTTGGATTAGTTCTAGAACTTAAATGGTTTGATGAAGCGGTTTCCTCAAATGGTTTGAGTTACCTTAACCTTTTATATTTTACGGTGTATATATGCTTAATTCTTCAAATGGTACATGAAGAATGCAAAAGTTCTGTCTGAAATGTTTTTATCTAAAACATTTTCATGTTCAGTATTTCATTTTAAAGGAAATTAAAATAACTTAAAATAAATGAAAAATTCATTGCATAAAAGTAAAATTACTAAAACTACACACAATTCAATTCAATTCAATTCAGCTTTATTTGTATAGCGCTTTTACAATGTAGATTGTGTCAAAGCAGCTTCACATAAATGGTCATAGTAACTGGAACAGTGTGGTTCAGGTTTTAGTGTTTAAGTTCAGTTCACTTCAGTTTAGCTCAGTTCAGTGTGATTTAATCATTACTGAGAGTTCAAACACAACACAGCAGCCTGAGAAAAATTTTAGATGGCACTTGAAGGTTTTTGCATTTAAACTCTTCATATATCCTTTAAAACTAATCTAAATATTGTTTAACTCATAATGAAATTAACTTATTTTAAACGTGATATTTTTTTTTGTGATAACCGGAACATTGTGAAACACTTGCAATTTAAAGCTGATTCTTCATTCACTCATTCATTACCTTCAGCTTAGTTTCTAATTATTCAGGGGTCGCCACAGCGGAATGGACTGCCAACTATTCCAGCATATGTTTTACGCAGCGGATGCCCTTTCAGCCACAACCCAACACTGGGAAATAAAGCTGACTAGAATTTTAGAATAATTATTTTCCTTTAAATTAATAATATTATTCACTTTCCTTTGGCTTATTCCCTCATTTATCAGATGTCACAGCGGGATGTAGCAGCAATTAATTTAGCATATGTTTAGTACAGTGGCTGCTCTTTAAGATGTCAGTATTAATGTCAGTGCAGGGAAACACCCACACAGTAATTACACAATTTAATAATTTTATTCTTAATTATTCATTCATTCATTCTCTTTTGGCTTAGTCCCTTTATTCATCAAGGGTCGCCACAGCGAAATGAACCGCCTACTTATCTAGCATATGTTTTATGCAGCGAAAGCCCTTCCAGTTGCGACCCAATGCTGTGAAACATCCATACACACTCAATACATACACTACAGACAATTTAGTTTATTTCATTTACCAATAGCGCATGTCTTTGAACTGTGCAGGAAACCGGAGCACCCGAAGAAAACACACCCGAACACAGGGAGAGCATGCAAACTCCACACAGAAACGCCAACTGGCTCAGCCGGGACTCGAACAAGCGACAACCTTCTTGCTGTGAGGTGACAGTGCTAACCACTGAGCCACCGTGTTGCCTATTCTTAATTATGTTTGTGTAAATGTCCAAATAAATCTTTAAAAATTACATAATAATGGAAAAATGGGGTGAATTTGTTTGAGTGAAGACAAGAAATTTATGACAAATACAATTACCAATGACCTCTTAATTAATCATTTTCTATTTTATAATAAATCTCTATTCCTATAATGATAAAATATTCAAAATATTTATTTAACAACATAATTTACATGCCAATTTCCACATAACAGCTGCACTGTAAAAAAATTTGTAATTTAACGGTTTATTTCTAGCAGCTGTGGGGCCGGAAGAAAAACGTAAAATAGCAAACGTTAAATTACAGAAATTTACCGTAAAATAATGAATATTAAAATACAGTAATTTACCAGAAGTTTAAATTTAAGGACATTTCTTTTAATACCTATTATTTTACGATATATTTCTATAATTTATCCACACCAGCTGCCAGAAACAAACGGTATAATTAAGATTTTTTAGCACATATAACGTATATAGCAATTTACCTGTACACTTGCCAATTTGTATATTTGCATTCACTGCTTACTTCTATTTTCAAAATATATTTATTATCTGTTTCTTATCCGGACTCTAATTCTGTTGCACTGTAGAAGCTCTGTCATGAAAACAAATTCCTCATATGCAAACAAACCTGATATTAAAGCTCTTTCTAGCTCTGACTCTGACTCTAAATTATGGTTCTTATTATCAATGTTTAAGTTGCTCATGCTAACTAATGTTAACGTGTCAAATAGTAAATCAAGATTATTTGATAAATATAAAGTTCAACATTTAACAATATTATATAATATCTCATTATTAATGCATTTACTGACACATTTGCGTCACCAGTTCATTTATTTACTAAAAAACTTTGCTCTATATTCCACACCCTATAATGACAAAGCAAACCTTAGCAAAATAACTAAAGAGGAAAAACATCAGTACTGAGCTGAATTACCTTCGGCAACAATTACCTTTAGCAGTCTCAGGTCTGCTGGATTTGATGTGGTAATCTTTGCACATCTGCATTTTGTTTTTCTGCCATTCTTCTCTGTAGATGCTTCAGCTCTGTCAGATTGGATGTGAACTGTCACTAGATGACTCTTTTCTTTTTCTGGATATGTTCTTTCAAGTATGGAGGTATCCTAATCAGAGTAAAAGAGTAGTTTAGCACATTTCATGAGAGTTACATATATTGTAACACAGCTGGAACTGTTCAGAGCTAAACAGAGTGAAAGTATTTGTATATCAGCATACAGAGTCTGGATGTTTAAGAGAAAATGGAACTGAAAGCTCTGCAGCGACCAAACCTTAATCAGCAGAAAGGATGAAACTACCTTTGCTAAGGAGCATGTTGTGTTCACATATATAAAAGGCAAGTTTAATGTAATTGAGAGTCTGATTGGAGACAATATCTTCATTGTGAAACTAAAGAAAGACTGAACCCAAAGTGTGTGAAGTAAGAGAAAGGTGAAGGTGAAATGTGATGGTATGAGGGATGTTTTCTGCAGCAGGAGTCTGGCTTCTTTTAGTTACATGGCAGAATGTATGCTAATGTAAATCAGAAGCTCTTTCCGCAACGTGGTTACTTTCAATCAATCTGTGCCCAATAATCTAGCAATTTTAATATGAGCCCCTTACCATAACAAAATGGGTAAAACTTTTCCTTGAAGCTAAAAACATTGTAAAAATGAAATGGCAGCCTAGAGTCCTGAAATAAACCTGATTGAAAATCTCCAGAAAATCCTTGGTGACAAAGTTATGGTTAAGCAACCCACTGAACTGTGGATGAGACTAAAAAAGAGATCAGGATCAGAGCAGTGTGATCAGTGTTTTCCACAATATGAAGTTACGCTACTCTAATAGCCAGTGTTGGAGGTAACGCATAACAAGTAATGCGAGTTCCATAATAACATATTAATTCAGTAATATTACTTAATATATTCAGAAATAATATTTGAGCTACTTTTTTAAAAAAATGTAATGCGAGTTACTTTTTAGTTTAATTATTTAGCTTTAAAAAATAAATTGCTGAATTAAAAATAATGTAGTCATGTTGAATTTTAAATGCGCTCCCGGTGAGAAATGAAGATAGCATACCAGAGCTTTACATTTTTGTGATGGAAGAATTCTCATTATTTTTAATGCATAGAAGAAAAGGGGATCGTCTCAATGGACAGTGATTTTACCTAACGTATATGACCAAAAGTACAAATGTCACAAACAAATTGCTTTTAACGTTCAATAATCTGTATATAAGACATGTATAGCTCTGAAGTTTGTAAGTTTTCAGAAGATAACATTATCCTAAATTATAAATTTTAATCTGTTTTTTAAAGAAAAATGAAGGTTTAGGTTATACAGGACATTGTGATTGCATAACTCCCTTACCTAAAAAACACGGCAATAGTCTAGTGGCTAAGTTATATAACATCATGGTCCTCACAGCAACCTGAGTTCAATTCCCAGCTTCAGGTCCTATGCGGATCCTTCCTTTTTTTTTTTTGCTCCCAATGCTTTTCTGTATGTTCTCCACTATCCTATTTCAATAAAAAAATTATAAACCTGTGAAAAAAATTATTAAAAAAAAAAGAAGACAAGAAATTTCTGAAACAAATCAAGCCTCAGCCAGGCAAGAAAAAGACAAAAGGTGAGACAAAAGTAATGTAGCGCATAACTTTACATATAAACTAACAAGGTAACACAACTGGTTAGTTTTTTAATTAACATTCACCAACACTGCTAATAGCATGATAAATTTGCAAATAAATCTTCCCATTTTTAACAATGAATATTAATTGAATTTATCTTTATTTCTGTAACGCTTGTAGACACAATGTAGATTGTGTCAAAGCAACATAACATAGTTTATGTTACCTACTAATTTAAAACTGTTTCAGTCCAGTTTTCAGAGTTCAGTTTTGTTCAGTTCACTGTGGTTTAATTTTCACTGCTGAAAGTCCAAACACTGAAAAGCAAATCACAGTGGCGAAAATCAAACTTCACCAATTGACAAAAGTGAAGGAAAAAAAACTTGAGAGAAACCAGGCTCAGCTGGGCAAAACCATTTCTCCTCTGGCAAAACTTCAAAACAGGAGAACTCTGGATGTCCATTGTGGAGAAGATGCAGGAGTGAGTATGTCACCAGCGGGTGTTCAGGCTGGCCCACGGGATCAATGTGAAGACACGACTTTCACTGGGGTCTTTCAAGAATCACTCTCATGCTCAAGATTACATAATTTGCATTTAAAAATGGGTTATATGTTGTACTTCAAACTAAAATTGATTATTAAGAAAGGGGGGGGGGGTCTTTTTTCACATCAATTCTTTTTTAGCAAACTAACAGTAAGAGGGGTGTGGTGAAGAATATTGTGGCTGAAGCATCAAACTGATGTCAACAAAGAAAGGACGCCCCTCCAAACTTGGAAACAAATGATCAGACTTTAATTGAAGATTATCAAAACATTTTTTATTCAGTTGATTAACTTGCATATATTAATTGTTCACCTAAAGAATAGCGCTAACATTGTCAATTTTAATTTCACACAGACTAAGTACTACGGTAATTCCCACTGTTAACTTGCTTAGTATTAAGATATTGGCTGATTATTAGTACTTACAAAATCTGATCTTTTTCTACATTCCTAATCCTACCCAATGCCTAAACTAACTACCACCTCACTAATAATAATCAACTAATAAGCAAATAGTCTTAGTTAATGATATTTAAATAGTAAGATATGTACCTAAAAATAATATGTGACCAAAAATATTCTCTAATTTTACTTCCACTGTATATATCCCAATAATATTTAATATATGGTAAAAATACACTTAATAAAACATGAGGAACAGCAGTTAGTATAGTTCCCCATACACTCTTCTTGTGTATGAGAACACCCTGAACAGGTATGTAACATGCAATTACAACATGCAGCTCCTCACGCACTGCTCATTACAGCATGTGACGTATGTGTGAGGGTGGAAGGTGAGCTGTGTTGATAGACTGACACCTAAAATCAGCATTCTGACAAGAACAAGTAAACTCGCTTTCATATTTCATACATAACCAGGGTGGGGGGGTGATGATTATTATGGTGATTTGTGTAATGGAGATGGGTGTGTTTTACTGTGTATATCTGTGAGCGCGTAAGAATGAGATAGTAACAGTTTAAAAATAGTTCCTCAACAGTACGTATTAGATTTGGGTATCTACATTCTTGTCTGATTTCCTTACTAGTGCGCACAAACAGTATGTGTGACAGCCTGGGAATCATGGGAGGAAACTGACGTGATTGACAAGCTGGCAATAACAACATGCTTTCAGGAGCCTGTGTAGGAGGGTGAATATTTGTGTGTTTGTGGCATGGGTGCATGACTGAGTAATTTTAAAGATGAGGCTGAAATATGTATGCATGTACAAGTGTGTGTTTTTCAGTAATAAGCCGTGTCTGCAGGCTGAGGTGGAGGACAGTTGGCAGCAGGACTGGCACGCCTGTCAGGCCTCCACCTGCATTTAGATCAGGAAATGACCCACACCCATCAAGAGAGTTCTGGGCCTCTGAGCATGTAAACATCAACTGCATTTTGAGGAAACCTTCCTGCTTGTACTTTGTTTATTTTGTTGAGTAAATTACTATGGGTGAACTGTAAGAAAACAAAAACAAACATGAGTTAACTCTCTCTACAATATTTAGTTGTATTGTCAGATGACTAAGACCTTGTTCCCATTTTGATTGATAGATAGATAGATAGATAGATAGATAGATAGATAGACAGACAGACAGACAGACAGACAGACAGACAGACAGACAGACAGACAGACAGACAGACAGACAGACAGATAGACAGATAGATAGATAGATAGATAGATAGATAGATAGATAGATAGATAGATAGATAGATAGATAGATAGATAGATGATCACAAGTACATTTTGCCTTTGCTGTGAAGCTCTAATTTCTGTTTCCACTGATAATTCCTGAGCTGTTTCAGCAGCTTAATTGGAGTTCACCTGTGGTAAATTCAGTTAATTGGACATGATTTGAAAAAGCATACACCTATCTATATAAGGTTCCAGGGTTAAAAGTGCATGTCAAAGCACAAACCAAGCATGAAGACAAAGGAATTGTCTGTAGATCTCAGTGACAAGATTGTCTCGAGGCACAAGGCTGAGGAAGGTTACAGAAACATTTCTGCTGCTCTGAAATTTCCAATGAGCACAGTGGCCTCCATCATCCATAAGTGAAAGATGTTTGGTACCAGCTGGACTCTTCCTAGGGCTGGCCGGCCATCTAAGCTGAGTGATCGGGGAGAATAGGGCCTTAGTCAGGAATGTAATCATTAACCCGATGGTCATGCTGTCTGAGCTCCAGTGTTCTTCTGTGGAGAGAGGAGAACTTTACAGAAGGACAACCATCTGTGCAGAAATTCACCAATCAGGCCTGTATGGTAGAGTGACCAGACGGAAGCCACTCCTTAGTAAAGTGCACATAGCAGCCCACCTGGAACTTGCCAAAAGGCATCTGAAACCAAACTCTCTGGGCTGATGAGACTAAAATTAAACTCGTTGGAGTGAATGCCAGGCGTTCACTGGAACTGGAAGACTAGTCAGGATAGAAAGAAAGATGAATGCAGCAATGTACAGAGACATACTGAATGAAAAGACATCCTTGGGCGACGGTTCATCTTCCAGCTGGACAATGACCCAAAGCACAGCGCCAAAATATCAATGGAGTGGCTTCACAACAACTCAGTGAATGTTAATTTAATTCAAATTAATCATCTCTGGAGAGCTCTGAAAATGGCTGTACGCCATCGCTTTCTATCCAATAAAAAATGAATTTGAGGAAATAAATGAATTTAATCCATTTTGGAATCAAGGCTGTAACAAACAAATGTGGAAAAAGTGAAGCGCTATGAATACTTTCCGGATGCAATGTAGAGAGAGAGAGACGGACGGACGGACAGACAGACAGACAGATAGATAGATATTGTTGCTATTTGATCTTTGCAATTTTCAGTATCCTCTCCTCTCTTTGGATAGAAAGACAGAAATAAATGAATCTAATAAAGCAATAATCCTCTCATGAAAGACTGCTGATCCTAAACTTCCTAAATTCTCCGACTCCCCATACAATACTTC